CCTGGGTTTGATTCCTCAGCACCACATAAGCAAAAAGAAAAAAGCTGGAAGTGGTGCTGTGGCTCAAGTGGTAGAGCGCTAGCCTTGAGCTGAAGAACTAAGGGACAGCGCCCAGGCCCAGAGTTCAGGCCCCATGACCGGACCCCCCCCCCAAAAAAAAGAACTTATACCAGAAGTGGAAGTGTGGCTCAAGTGGTAGAGAGTCAGCCTTGAGCTGAAAAGCCAAGTGAGAACCTTCTTCTCCCCTGGTTCCAGCCCCAATACCAGCACACAAGCACACACACACACACACACACACACACGTATGAGTTTATTTCATTCCGTGAATAGAGGATCGGCTTGTCTCTCAGGGTCTCCAGGAACACTACGGAGATGGTGGTCTTCGTTGTCCTGCTGTCTTCCACACATTTCTTCTGGGAACCCCCACCTTCCCTGCCCCAACACCAAAAAGTCAGGCCCCCTGCTTTTCACAGCCCTTGTTACCCACCCCCACCGTATAATTATTATATTGTATCATCTATCCACAGTGAATCCCTTGGGGACAGTGTCTGCACTCTGCTTATTGGAGGTATTGTCTCCAGCACCTAGGACAGGGCCTGGCAGTGACCAGTGAACGAAGGTGCATGGGTGCCTGAGCCCAGGCATGCTCTGGAAGGCTTCGCCCAGCGGCTCAGAGCACTCTGGTTCCTAGATAGTGAGGAAACCCAAGCCTCAAGTGCAGACCTCACCCAGCCAGTCTCCGCTTCACCTCGCCCCGCCCCCTCGGCCCCTCGGGCCCCGCCCAGCCTGCCTCCGCCTCACTGAGCCCCGCCCCTCGGGCCCCGCCCAGCCAGCCTCCGCTTCACCGCCCCTCCCACTGCTCCCTCGGGCCCCGCCCAGCCAGCCTCCACCGCGCCCCGCGCCCCGCCCCCCCCCGGAGACCGCCCAGACAAGTGGGGGCGTGGACTTCCCAGGATGCTCCGAGCGGCCCCGGTGCCAACCGCAGGGACAGGAGGGAGGAGGAGGCCGTGATGGCGACGCCGGAGCCGGAAGTGCAGTGTGCTGCTGCAGTCCCTGGTAAGGTGTGGGGTTCCGAGCCTGAGGGGCTTTGGAGGCCTGCTTCCCGGCTTCCCCCTTCTACCGCCGCCTCCCGTAAGTCATGTAGCCTCCGGTCTGACCCCAGTGTGCCTCCCCCCCGCGCTGGCTCCGCCCGGGACTCCCGCACCCTGACTGGAGTTGGCCCTGGAGCTGTCGACCGCAGGGTCGGGGACCCCCGCTTTCTGAGCGAACTCCCCCCACCGCCCTGCTGTCAGCGTAGGCGGGGATCGGAATCGCCGCCCGTCCTAGAGGTTGCCGAGGGTCTGGTGGCTGGTGTGGCGGCCACAGGCCACAGGAAGGCTGGCTTTGCCCTCTCACTTTATCTGCTTCATCCCTGTGTTCACGCCCTAGATTTGGAATGGTATGAGAAGCCGGAAGAAACTCATGGTCCCCTAGATCTGCTGGAGACCAACTCTGCCCAGGAACCTTCCAATCCTCCCGAGGCCTTTTCCCCAAGAGACTGCTTGGTGCCCGTGGTGTTTCCTGGGCCAGTGAGCCAGGAGGGCTGCTGTCAGTTTACTTGTGAACTTCTAAAGCATATCATGTACCAACGCCAGCAACTCCCGCTGCCCTATGAACAGCTAAAGCTCTTCTACCGGAAACCCCAGGTATGTGCCGGCTTTGGGAGGAAGTCATTGGGGAGACTCTTAGATGGTAGTTATGCAGGTAGAAGAGGGTCTAAGAAACCTTCAGGGCCTCTGCCTTTCCCACACCGTCAAACACTTTTTCTCTCTGGTTGTCTTTTTTGTTTTTTTGTCGGTTGTAGGGCTTGAACTCAGGGCCTGTGAACTGTCCCTTGAGACCTTTTGCTCAAGGTTAGCACCCTATCACTTTGAGCCATAGCCTTACTTCGTTATGTGTGTGTGTGTATGTGTTTACATAGGGCTTGAACTCTGGGCCTTGGCGCTGTTCATGAGCTCTTTAGCCCAAGGTTAGGGCTCTACCACCTAAGCCACAGCACCACTTCCGGTTTTCTGGTGGTTAATTGGAGATAAGATTATCAAGGACTCTTTGCCCAGGCTAGCTTTGAACCACGATCCTCAGATCTCAGCCTCCAGAGCAGCTAGGATTACAGGCAGGAGCCATGAGTGTCCAGCTTAGTTTTGAGACTTTTTTCCTGTTCTTTTCAGTGTCTCTGTTTCTGCCAGAATCTTTTCCATATTTGTTTCTTTTGGTATCTGTGTTTCATGTTGGAGGCTTTTATTGGGCTGGTGAAGGTTTCAGAATAATTGGCAGAAAAACGAAGGAGTCGGTAACAGTCGATAAGAAATGTACTCATTACCTTACTCATGTAACTTTAACCCCTCTCTCTGTATAGCATCTTCACAAAAAACACCAAAATAATAGTTAAAAAAGATTTCAGAATAAATGATTGCAAGCTGTCTCTGGGCCTCTGCAGTGATAAACTTCACTGTGGAAGGAAAATGGGTGGGGGACCAAGTGGTCTCTTTTTTTTGGGGGGGCGGAGTCATTACTAAACATGGTATTGGAAATATTCTCTGCAGAAGGTGGGGATTTGTAGATGATCTAAGCATCCTCTTACAAGCTTTTATTCAACCCTGTTGTGTTCACTCTTGCCCTCTGAGGTGCCTGTACTGCCGGTTTCCTGGGTATTTCCAATTCTTGACTTTTCTTGGATTCCTAAGTATGGCTGTGTTTCTTAGGGGTGCCACCTTTTGCCATAGTTGCTATTCACCATTCCTGAATTCTTTTTTTTTGGGGGGGGGTCTGGTCGTGGGGCCTGAACTCTGGGCCTGGG